GCCCCGCCCCGGCGGGGGGAGCTCAGAGCTCGCCCTGCCGGCAGACTCCAGGCATCGAGCTCGGGGGCCGCTCGCATCCCGACGCGGCAGCTTAATCCCTCGCTAAATTCTCCGGCTTCTGTATTTTTGAGCAGAGTTTCAAATGCCGCAATTTTTACGAGGTGGTGTTTAGCGCCTCGAGGCATCAAACCGAGCGAAGGCATTTAACGGGGAGAGCTGAAGGCGGCGGCGAGGCAGGAGTTTGTAACCACCCCTCGTGTCAGGACTCTCTTCACAGGTAAAAAAATTCTTTTGCACCGTCTTTTTTTTTTTGCGCAGACAGCGAGTGTTGGCTGTCCCAGGTTTAGATTGCTGGGGTCACTGGTTAGAAAAAAGTTTTGAACTCCTGTGTAGCTAATAAAGGAAAATTCTAATGATAGGAAACGTCTATTTATAAATCCAGCCAGGCTTGTTAGGACCCTGTTGATGACCCCTGGGGCCGTGTCGCCGTTCCTGTGTTGCAGGAGCGTTGCTGCGTTCCTCAGACACGTAAACCATATCCCTAAAAATAATCCTGGTCACGGGGGTGGACGGGAATTGAACTCCTAATTATTTTCTGGGGCAAATTAGATGCGTGTTTCTCAATGCTGTCATTTCATTTTTTGAGAGCGTGTGGGTTTTGCTATAACATACGAGGTCTCCTGATGTTTGCTACGATATTTTGCCTCTTCGGTTACCTGCGTTTTACATATTGAAATGGCAATTTTTGTGTTTTTCCCGCTCCGTTGTGAATACGGCTTCGAGGTTTTGTAACGGGGGCCGGATCCCTCGGTGGGGTGAGGCGGGTTTGCCGTGGCAGAGAGGTCTCTATTGTTTCCTTACCTTGTGTGTCCTGTTGTTCTTTGTTTAACCTGTCATCCGACTTGATGTGGTGCCTGCCGCCCCTGCTTTCCCCGGCTCCTGAAATCGGGAGCGCCGCTGGGAGCACAAGGAAACCACACGGATGTAATGCCACGCGGAGCTGCCCCTGCGCCGCCTCGCTGGGGGAGGTTTGTCTTCCGCGCTCCGTTGAAATAAGCGTTTAAAATTGGTATGTTTTTGGGGGCAGGCAGCAAGGGCAATTCCCTGGGATGCTGGTGGCGATAACACACGGGAGGTTTTAGAGTTCGCGCTGTCGTGAGTGTTGAGGAACGGCGCTCTCGGTCCACTGTGTCCGATGGCTCTTGCGGCCGTAAACGCTGGCGTTTGTGTACATGGTGGTTTGGTTTTTTTTTTTTGGATGATGGGTTCTAAACCTCCCTGGTTCTGCCTCTTGCATGCTTAAGTGACGGTGTCTTCCAGTAGCTGTGAATGAAGCCTGTTGAAACTGTACCAACTCTGTAGGGCTCTTGTTGCTTTATATTTAATGTTGTTCCTTTTTTTTCTTGGCTAGTTGTTTCACCACGCCTTTAGAGAAAATAGAAATTTTACTCTTCAAAAGCACAGGCAAGACCGCTCTGACAAGCCGGGAGGCGCAGGGTCTGCCTTGGCTAGTCCAGCAGCAATTTTCTTATTTCCTTTCTTTTCTTTTTTTTTTTTTTTTTTTTTTTTTTTTCCCCCCTTCTTTCATTTTCAGAACCCGAAAAGACCGATACCAACCGCTGCAGCCAGGCTTCGTGACAAGAACTTGCTTTTCCGAGGAAGGAGCTGTGGTGCTCTGCTGGCCTGTCAGCAGATTTCTGACAACTCCAGACCCCGTTTGCCCTCGCAGCTGGGATTTTGCCATCCCAAACCAGCGAGCTGCCGCTTCCCGCGTTGATACAAGGCGGTGTGCGAATCGCAGCTGCCAGCTGCGTTGCTCAAGGGCGAGGACTCTCTTATTTTCCCCCTCCCCTCCTGTATCGCTCGACACCAGAGCGAACGCGCTGAGATGTCTAAAAAGCAAAATACGAAAGGTAAGATGCATGTGAATGCGATATCATCAAATGCCAATAAACAGCACTATCGATTCCAAAGTTATCAATTAGGAAGGGGGTTAATTGCTTTTGCTATACTCCTTTCAAGGCTGCTGCTGTCACTTGACAGCTTATTGTCACTATCTTAGTGACATCGTATAACCTGTTGGGTTTTGTGACATTTTTAGTAGCATTTCAGTTGTCCAGTTGGACAGTTCTGATCTCAGGAGTTCCTGTATAATGGTAACATCGCATCGCTTTCACAGCCCGACAACAGGAGGCAAATAAAAAAAAAACAAAACAACTGTTTAGTAGTTGGAAGAGTTACAGAGCCAAACTTTTGCATTTTCCTTCCCCTGGCTGGGTATGGGGGGGATGAACCTGAGCGGGGCCCGGCTCTCTCGGGGGATTAACTCTACCAAAACTCGGTCGTGTTCCCGGGCAGCCCCTGGTCACCCTCTCGAGTGCCCCACGGACACCAGGGCTTCGGGGCAGGCTTTGGGCTCGGAGCTGCTTGTCCTGTCTGTGGCAACTGCTTGCCAGGAATCCAGTTAAGAAACGAGCCGTGGAGTCGAGGTGGGATAGCTCCGCTCAGGTCCTCGCCTCTTGGCGATGCGACTCCAACCAGACCTATTTACATCTTTTTCCTTCGATAGGTGCGGAAGGGCGACGAGCACGTTTGCAAGAAGCTTTTTTCCCTTGCTTTGTCTTCAAATGCCCGGGCTGGTTTTCCTTTTTCTGCCGTCGCATGTTAAGTGGCAAAGCTGTTCTGGCGTCAAGCAGCTGATTTCGGGGAGGGATCTTATTTGTAGCGTGTGAAACATTAATTCCAAAGTGGAGGGGTGGGGTGGGGGTGGAGAAGGAGGGCTGAGGGTTACGGTTTTCTTTTTATTTGAACGGACTACTAATTAATAATTTAAGGCGAATGGGTTTGACAATTCATGTCCTCTACCTCAAGAGAAGCGCTTTTGTTCTCTGTAGATTTATTTATTTTTTTTTTCCTAGCAGCTTTGGCATGGAAACGGTGTCTACCTGCGGAGCCCAGCCGTCCTTTGACAGCTAGATCCATACATGATTCAAAGCAATTAGTGACAGTTATGGAAATTATTGTATAGGGTAATTTTGGAGTGATTTTTAAAATGCTGTATTTGTATCTGTGCTCTTGGAAGCCTCAGTACAAGTCATTAAGAAATTGCCTTCTCTCTGATGCTGGAAACGGCGCCCGGCGGTCGTCGGTGCTGAGTAGATGTGGAGAGAAAAACACACCTTGAAACGGCAGCAGAGAATTAACGGGTCTAGAGAGGGGAACGGTGTGAGAAACCCACAGGGGACGACTGGGGAAACCACGGGAAGCGGTTCCTCTGAGGGACTGGGGGGGGAGGAATTGGCAAAAACCGCCCCGATTCCGGCTGTCGGGG